ACTCTGTCTTACTCATCTATATATTCTTAGCATCTAATAAAGCACAGTATACTGTATTATATAATAAGTATTTTCTTGAAACAATGGCTGGGTGACTAATTTTCAAGAAGAGTCCAAGATAACCCAATCCTGTGTGATGGTTATGTTTGTGTGTCAACTTGGCTGGACCACAATTCTGTGTGGTTTAAGCAATTATGATGTGGGTTATTCCCATGATGGGATCAGATGTATATATTTTGAGCAGCCAATCAATTGAAAGGAGTTTCCCTAGTGGTGTGGCTTGCTTCCACTATATTTATGGACATCCTGGGAAAGGAGACACTCTTCTGTGGATTGGGATCCTGTTGTGCTGCCTACAACTGTCCATGAGCAAACAATCCACATTCGGCCTGGAGATCTTGGATTCATCATTCCTTGGAGTCAACAGCCAATATACTGCCTGCCAACCTTGAGCTTATCAGCCCCTGCCTCTGTGAGAGTCGGAAAAAACCTCCAGCTTGATGTTTGATACAAGAACTTGACTTGCCAGCTTCTATAAGTATGTGAACCATTTTGCTAAGATAAATTTCTCTTTCTCTCTCTCTGTATAAGCTTTACTGGTTTTGCTTCTCTAGAGAACCCAGCCTCACACAACCTGCTTAACTAGAAAAATTCAATTGCTATTAAGTTATTGTTCCTCAGCTCTGAAACTACCCTTCTATACTCCACTTTGTTACAGAGCTGGGACTCCGCAAACCAACCACATTTCTGCTTTACCAGCTGACTCTCTGTTAGGCTTGGCCAATAGGGGTTGTGAGCAGGAAACTAGGAAGATGGAGGAGGAAAGAAGGAAACTTGCTCCTTCCCATTTGTTTCCTGTTTGCTTGCTGTTTATGTGAACTTCTTCCCAGGCAGCAAGGATTCTTCATCTTGGAAGTAGCAGCTCTTTTCTTGCCATTTTCCCAACACTTAGACAGCCAACTTTATCTCACCCTCATCTCCAAGACAATGTACTAGGTGGTGGTTGCTCCCTTCAGATATCTGTATGCCAGTCCTAGGTATGTTCTCTGCTAAGTTTCTAAGTTCTAATCATTCCAAATGCTTCCATTTTTTCTTTCAGCCCGAAGGGTGGTACCTGCTTTTACAGATGTCATTTCTTTTTATCCTCTCAGTTAACAGATTTGTAACCAATTCAGATTTTTTTAATATTAAATTTTCTCTGTTAAAATAACTAGTATGGTTTATCTTTCCTTATTGGATGGTGATTTAAAAAAAAAATGGAAATAGGAAGATCTTAAAGAGGTAAAGTATGATGATAGGTTTACATTCAGACTCACTGAATTTATTGTCTTTGTTACACCATATTATATATATAATATATATGTTGTTGTTGTTGTTGTTATGTGCCGTCGAGTCGGCCCCGACTCATAGCGACCCCTCCTTGGGTTTCCGAGGCAGTATCACTATGGAAGTAGGATTGCCCAACCTTCCTTCCGAGGAGTGGCTGGTGGGTTTGAACCGCCAGCCTTCTGGTTAGCAGTCAAGTGCTTTAGCCACTATGCTACCAGAGCTCCCAGCACTGTCAGTAGATATGTATATACATAAAAGAACCAAACCAAACTCACTGTCATTGAGTCAATTGTGACACAGAGCGACCCCTCCTTGGGTTTCTGAGGTGATATCTATGGAAATAGATTGCCCAGTCTTCCTTCTGAGGAGTGGCTGGTGGATTTGAACCGTCAGCCTTCTGGTTAGCAGTCAAATGCCTTAGGCAGTACACCACCAGAGCTCCCATGGATGTGTCTATATTTATATCAAGGAACCTAGTGGCACAACTAGGTTAAGCGCTTGGCTGTTAACTGAAAGTTTGGTGGTTTGAGCATATAGAGACTGTGTAGGAGAAAGACCTGGCCATTTGCTCCTGTTAAGATTACAGCTGAGAAAACCCTATGGGGTAGTTCTACTTTTGTCACATGGGGTCACCATGAATCAAAAACAAGTCAATGGCATCTAACAACTACATCATCCATATCTGTGTCTGCCTTTCCACATAACCCAAATCGAATTCCACCAGAATTTGTTTGACCTTGATTCAATGACCCCCTTTTCTCCATTTACTCAAATCAGTTTAATTATCCTTTCTAGATTATTATTCTTTGTAGTTCCCTGCCTGAAATAATCATCTATTTCATTCATCCTTCAAAACTAGCTCAGATTCTATCCTTCAAAACTTTACCTAATTCTCAGAAGGAATGCTCATCTTTTTTTTTTTTTTTTCTATTTCTAAAGTCTTTAGAGGGTGTTTTGTGCACATTTTTGTATTTTATTGCAAGTTGATCAAATCATTGTATTTATTTAAAGAAATAGCTTATGACTATAATAAATCTTCTGCAATTTTGTTTCTCTTAAAATAGAAGCTCCTAGTGGGAAGAGACCATTTTCCTAAGTGTTTTGTAAAGTCCTAAGAAGAAGTGTCTGATGGATTTTGTAGATAGAAATGATGACATTCTGCCATTTATGAGTTATAAATATAGAAAAAAATGCTTAAAAATTTTATTATGCAAGACAAACTATTAATAGGATAAAGCAAAAGCCCAATATGGCCTTCTTTGTGTATACCATGTCAATACATGGTTGCAAAACTGCTAATATAAAAACATTGTCTCTATTTTTCTTCAAAAAACTTTGTAGGAAATCTACTCTTTAGTGACTTACATGTAGTCAACAAAGTAGCCTAAATAAAACATCAAATTAGCAGGTAAACTAAACAGAAGCAATCATATTTATAGTCTTGTAGTCTTGTCTTGCTAGTTTTTTTTTTTTTTTTAAGTCATAAACATCTTATCTCTTTATTAGAGCAGACATTTTTTTAATAGGATGATATCCAGAATCAATATTTAAACAATAAAAGAGAATTACCGAGGGGAAATGATTTGGAGAGCTGGTGGTAGCAGGATGACAAGCATTTTCAAAATGAGATTCACAAGTAGCCTTCCTGCAATTTAATGAAAAGATCTGCATAGTCCAATTCACCAAACCATCTTTTCTTTGAGCTGAATGTATTTTCTTTGGTGGTGATAGAAGAAAGAGGAGGCAAATGATGAAGCAGAAATTACATGCCATAACCTCCTCAGAAATACTGCAGGCTTGTGGCCATAACTATATAAGGGGCTCTATGCAGTCCCAGAATGAAAAAGAACTGCGTGTCTACATTCTATTTCTGTCCTTACAAATTTCTGATTTTTTTTTTTTTGCAGCTATCTAAGAAAAATTTGATATTGTTGTTGTCTAAGCACATTTAAACTTCAGCTGAAATAACTGCCAAGTGATTCATGCCTATGTAGGTGAATATAATGATTGTATCTGGAGCCCCAGTGCGCCATTTTCATTTCACTTTAAATAAAAAACAAAATGTATCTATGTCAGTCAGTGCCCTTCTGCTGTACTCAGAGGTATCAAACAGGCTACAATTATGATTGTGAAGTGATTGTGTCACATTGGAGGAAGGTTTATTGCTTTTGAGTCTGCTAGGCAGTAACACATTCTGTTTCATATTACTCTTTATATCATTGTTTGGCTGTGACTAGAATAATCAAATGCCATCAAATGCTGTCAAATTCAATTTACAGTATTTTTCATTGAAGCGGGCTTTCTGCATTATATTTCCTGTTTTCCCTCTCTATAGCTGCCATGGAATAGTCACTGTAATCATGAGCTTTATTTACAAAACCAACAGAGTGAAGCCACGTCCTGGTCTATAACAGATACTTTATTTCCCTTTATTCAGAATAGGAATTTGATGTGCTTTTCTCATACAATTAGCATTAAGTAGATGAAAGAAAACTATTTCAAGAGAACGGGCATTTTAGAGCCCGCACTAATGTGCTTAGCGTAAAATGTAAATTCACATTAGCCATTTTTACATGTTCATGTGTATTTGAATCAGAAATATTTTTCTTCAAATTAATGTTTGCTGAGAAGAAATTTGGCTTGCTCATTTTCGGTAATGTCATTTACATAACCAGAAATGTAATAATACTTTCTCCTTTCATAATTTGCCTACAAATCCTTAGCTCATCATTGAAGACTGATCTGAATCAAAGGGTTTCAGCATCTAAAGTTAAGAGGAGCCTAAACTAAGTTTCAGTAGGCATACAGGAAGTAGGGGCCAATAAGGGGAAGTATGAGGCTACTCAAGAGGGACTAACAAAGGGTGTTGAAGTGAGGAATGAGGATCTGAAAAAAAAAAAAAAAAAAAGTGTTGTGCTTTGTGTACCTAATGTAAATACATTGCTTTTGGAATGGAGTCTTCAATCTGCAAATCTTGTATGTCTGCCAGTGTCTGGTGTCTGTGTTTTCTGTCTTTGAAAGCAAGCTCTCAGTTGACATTCCTTCCTTGACTGGGGTGTTTTATTTTCCTCTCCTTGGTCCCTTCTCTTGCCTCTCTCTCCTCTCTCTCTCCTTTCCTCCCTCCTTCATTCCTTCTCTCTTTCTTTCTTTTCTTCATTTTAGGGGGATTGAACTTAATACATTCAGCATATGATAGTGAAAACATGCTGCATTAACACCATCTAGCCAACTGAGTGGAGACTCATTAAATCAGAAGGAGAACAAGCATAGAAGCATTCTTTTGCACACAAAACATAACATCTTTTGAGGGAGAGAAGAAGCTATTCCAATCTCCATGTAATAAGTGATAGGAAAAATTAGAATTCTCATCCCAGACTCTTAGCCATTCAGCCTCTGCATCATTAAATGCAAGGAAGGCTTCTGTTAGCTGAACTATGATGTCTAGTCTTTCAAACAGATCTCAAACAAAAATGTTACATGGTAGTTATGGCTTTTTCCCTTGGAAAATATGCAAAAGTTCTCAGCAACCAGGTTTAGTCCCTAGTAAATGCTCCATAAAACATGACTTCCCATACATTTCTTTATGGAAATGGAAAATATATTTAATTCTATACTCTTGGAATATCACACATTCTTAGATAATTAAAAACAATAGTAAGAATCAATCTTACCTGTGAATAAAGTAGTTGATGATGACTCCATTTGGTTCTTTAGGTGGTATCCATGTAACTTCTATACAAGATGACCCCAATGCCTTAAGAACAGGCACATTAAGATCCATTGGGGCTGCTTCAGATGTCTTAACAAACATTCTACTGCTAACTCCACAACCGCCTTAAAAAAAAAGGAGACTTTTAATAATTTACCAAACAGTGAAGTGTTGCATATGCATATAGAAAGGCAAAGATATAACAAAAACTAATTTATCTGAGTTTTGTATATACATTTGTATATATACTCTAGACTAGCACTATACATTTCCATAGGATACATATTTACAAAAGGAATCACCTTTGGAAAATCCATAAATTAACCATATATTAACACAGACAATGAAATAAAGTATATGCTTTTCTGAACTGAGATTTCTCTTGTTTATTGTAGTAATCCTAGACAGAAAGTGATAATGTGCTTGAATTTCACAAGTCGGCATGACCCACACATCTTGTACACTCCTGTCTTATCTAGTTATCTAGTGCTGCTACAATGGAAAAGCACAAGGGGGTGGCTTCAACAAACAGAAATCCACACCCTCACAGGTGAGGAGGCCAGAAGTCTATACTCAGGGCACCAGCTCAAGGGGGAAGGCTTTCCTCCTTCATTGGCTCTACAGGAAGGTGCCCATCATCCATCTTCTCCTGGGTCTAGGACTTTCTGAGTGCAGGGTACCTGGGCCCAAAGGATACATTCCACCTCTGGCTCTTCTTTCTTAGCAGTAGGAGATCCCTCTGATCTCTACTCATTTATTTAATCCCTTTTATATCTCTAAAGAAATTGACTCAAAATACAGCCTAATCTTGTAGATTGTATGCTGCTTATTAACATATCTTCCTCTATTCTTGCCTCATTAACATCATAGAGGTGAGGATAATTACTTCAGGCCACAAAATAGAGGATAATTAAATACTATTGAGAATCTTGGCCCAACCACGTTGACACCCATTTTTTGGGGCGCACAGCTCAATCCATAACAACTTCTGACATTTTACTTTGGCCAATATTTGTAAAATAATGATAATTCTCTAAACATGTGAGAATCAAAACAAATAATCTGTAGCACAGATGCAAGGACATAGTGATGCAGAGACTGCCTTTATATTTAAATTAAGGAAACAGTGATTTACAGCTATTTCCATATGATAAAATGTCAGTGGTCTCATTTAAAGAGAGAAATGGAAAAACTGACTCAGATGTTCTCCCAGCTCCTCCTAATTGCTGAGATGAAGTATAGGAAAACTGGAAACCTCCGAATTCCTAACCAACTCTATGGGAAATAACAATCATTTGGAAACAGAAGTTCCTAAAACCAAAAATCAAACTCACTGCCATCAAGTCAATTCTGACTCATAGTGACCCCTTGTTGTGTTTCCAAGATGGTGAATCTTCATCAAAGGAGACTGCTCCATCTTCCTTCCATGGAGTGGCTGGTGAGTTTAGAACCTCCTTCTGGTTAGCAGTCAAATGCCTTAGGCACTATGCCACCAGGGCTCCCATAATAGTGATAGGTAAGAAAATTAATGTTCAGTTTTTTTTATTTTTCTGCTCTGCATTCCCAAATCTACGATTTCATTATGATGTCCATAAGACATCAAACACAGATGATGATGATTTCAGTGACCACTAGCCTGATCCATGAAACTAAAAAAATGAGTTTATGTATCTGAGATAGGGTCCCAGCAAGCACTGTAAAATATGTAAGATTTATTTGGGTATAGTTCAATTTCTAAATAACTACTTCCTTCACCCTTTTGAATACAATTTAAATGAAACTCAGGTGAATCCATTTTCTGTGGAATTTTTGTAATGCTCATTTTGTTTTACATTACCCATGACTCCTTTATGTGAGCTAGGTGTTTTTCTTTTAAAGTGCCTTATAAAACAAGACTTTGCAAAACCAACATTTTCATATATTTAAATATTCATGATTTAATGCGTAGAAATGCATAATGCTTCACTCAATGCCAGGCTCTGATTTTTCTGGGTAAACAGTCCACCACAAATAAGAATTGGAATGTTAGTCTTTTTATTTGAATTGAGAATCTATTCCTCTTCGATGGAATTTTTTTTTTTATGAAACATTTTTTTTTTCAGCCCGAGTCAGTGTATGAAAGACACTCACCAGTTTGACATGCTTGGATCCTTATCTCATACTGTGTGAATGGGGCTAAATTTTCCAACAGGATAGAACAATGGTGACCAACAGGGGAGATCAGAAATGCTTCACTTCCAGCATTGAGTAACACATTGTACTCCACAGGCATTTGGGGGTTGAGAATCCCTTTAGAAAAAGAGAGACAGGGAAAGAGTATGCTACACAGAATGTCCAAGAAATATTTGTCCTTTAATAACAATGTTGTTGTTGTTGTTGTTGTTGTTATGTGCCGTCGAGTCGGCCCCGACTCATAGCGACCCCTCCTTGGGTTTCCGAGGCAGTATCACTACG